TTTAATTTCTCTGTTTTCCGTTTCTGCATCACAGAAGCTTGTTCTGTGATGTTCTGTTGGATAGTTCTTTCAGTTTTACTCATGTTTAATTCTTCCTTGTGCAAAGTTTTTGTTTTCTGTCCAGTAAGAATAATTTTAGTTGGTAGCTGAGACTCCAATTCTTGTCCTTGCACATCTCCAACTCTCTGAGCATGAGCACCGTCTATATTTACAGGAGTGTAATCGTCAGGATTTTTTTTTGCAGTCTGATGCAATATAGTGTGAACAACTTTCTGAACTAGGATCTCACTCCCAAATTCACCTGGAAAGTGCTTGGTAACAAGTTTCATTGCAACATCATAAACATTACTATTCAAAGACGGATCACTTTCATACTGGAACCAATATACTGTTTCTCTGACTACTCTTCCTCCCCACTCCAAAGTGATAGGAAAAGCTTCTGGAAGATTGTCATATTCTTTACCTTCCCAAAAGTGTTTGAATCCACAACCACATTTGCCACCAGTAGACCTAGAATTAGTTCTGTCTCCATCCAAATACACAATAGAGCCATCTCCTCTGACTCTTCGCACAGATGAGCCATGGCACCAGTTACAAGCTGTTAGATTACTCAATCCATAGTCTGGTAGCAGAACATCTTTCACTGGATCATATGAACAAACCAAATTGTTTAAGGGAAAGCTGTAATTTTTGTCAGGCCTCAGCTGTCCATGAGTACTTTTTGCCAGGTTATACAGTTTCCCTCCTGGAGCCAACCACTCAGGAGGGACATGAAGTTCAGAAAGGGCACCACAAAGCAAACACTTGTGAAGGCGATTATCCATTACTGCTTTTTTAGCAGCTGCTGTAACTTCCTCAGGCTGAACTCCTATCACCCCAGTCCTTCTGTAGAAATACTGATGTACATCGGCAACCAAACTAGGGTGGATACCATGTTTGTCCATAAAGACTTCTTCCATAGCAGCAACCAGCCTAAGTAAGTACTTATCCTGCAAACTTCTGTCTCCTCCAATAACGCAGCCACCATCCTCCTCAAGCTTGATGTACTTTTTAATAAGGTCCTGAGGCACACCCCATGCTTTAGGTAGCAAATTCATGGGTAGTTTGGGCAAGGCAGCCCCCTTTATGCCTACCAAGGGAATATAGTGGTTTCTACCAGAGCTACTCCACGCAATACAGATTGGCTTGTTCAAATGACCATCTCTCCCAGTGCATTTCTCTGCAGGTATGAGTCCAGGTAGAAAGGTGGCTGAATAATCACCAGAGCTTCTCATGCCGCTGAGGGAATCTAAGAGAATTATGGGACGATGTAACACATTGGCAAGGCCGAATATATGGATATTCCTCAGGCCTAAGGGGACACCTTCAGGTGGCACAAACAGAGGGTCACATTCATTGATAATGTCCTCCCACTCGGCAGCATCAATAAAGTCATGAAACAGGGCTTGATATCGGGCTAGGTGCTGCTGAAAGTGCTGCTTAAGATTCTCCCTCAGGGCATGCCAGAAAAGCTCTCGGCCTACTAGAGCCCTAGACACAGCATGCACTAGGCAGTGTCCATCCCCATCCACATGCACTGGAATGAGGCATTCTTGACTTTTATTGGCCCGTTTGATATCCTCGAGAGTGTCATGCAAATATAGGAGGCTTCCGGAGCGGTCCTTGCCATAGCCCACTGTGTTGACGTGCTCTGGTTCGATGAGGAAGGCCCGGTCACCGAGTAACGCGCAATCGAACAGTTCGCCTTGGTTCATGTCCCGGAGCAGCTTGGCCCGGCCCGTTTGTTTGTCCATTCCATAGCGTGCCAATATGGGCGACAATAATTTGCAGTGGTAGTTGGATAGGCCCATCACCTTTACCAGTTCCGTGTTCTTCTTGGGGGCCCCCGTCACCCCGAGTAGCGCGTTCCGCAGCAGATTGTGCAGCACTACGTCCGGGTCGGTCACCTCCTCCACTCCCAGCAGCTGTTGCTGCTCGTGCCGCTGTCCGCACTCGGTACACTCGATGCTGACAGAACCCGAGGCCGGGAAGAAGAGACGCGCCTGGCACTTGGGATCCGGGCAGCTCCCGGAAAGGATTCTCCGGTCCCTTCGTTTCGAAAGGCCCCCCGGAGTAGCCGCCGCCGCCAGGGACGACGAAGTCTGCGGAGCCTCGGGGGGAGGCGGCGGCGGCGGCAGCGGAGGAGGCGGCGGCGGCTGAGACATTGCTCTCGGCTCTCGCTCTGCGTCCTAAGCGACCCTCAAAGGCACATAGCCAGACCTCCGCCGGCCCGACGAGGTCTAGTCCAGGCCCAGGGCGAATGGCTTTCCTTTCCCTACCAGTTCCTCCTCTTCCTAGGGGAAGGCGGAAGCGCCGGACGTTGTTTCTCTTCTCACTTCTCCACTGCCTTAGCCGTTGCCCCGAACGTAACGGCCACCACCCCACCCCGCACTCACACTCACTCACTCTCGCTCTCTCCCTCAGACACAGACATACACGCCCTCACTGAGACTGCGCAGGCGTAGCTTCCGCTCTGCCCTCTGGGAACGAGAGTCTTCCGGCTGCTCTCTCGCGAAGGAGTGTTAGGTACTTCCGTCCAGAAAGAACTTCAAATACCGAGATGCAAAGCGACTCGACGCACGCGGGGAGGAGGAAGAGGAAGGCACTCGGGAGGTGGGGGCAGAAAGGAAGTCGATGACTCGCGAGGCTTGTCGGTAATTGTATTTTTAACTGGATCTCTTTTGTAGTTTGTCCCCCATTCTATGGCCCAGGAGAAAGAATCAAAGAAACCACATTTCCTAGGACGCCGTGGGTAGTGTGTCCCGCCACACTTTCCTCTTGCGCAGAAAGTTGTGTGCTTGGGGAAAACAAAAGTGAAAAGGAATGGTGTGGAAGAGACCCTAAAGGACACCACCACTGCTAGGAAGTGGAATCCAATTATTTAGTCCGGGTTAAATGTCCTAAGAAAATGGGAGAGGGAGTTTTCTGTGAGGCTGCATTTTTTTTAGTATATTAATTTTTCAAATATGATATCATTTTTAAAATTGCCACTTAACTAGCAAGTGCCATAACTGACCTTATTCATAGTTATAATCATGTATTCCACTGTTCTAATTTGAGAGAAAATTAACAAGAAGTGAACAACAGCTGGTGTCCAGTGGCAAAATCTGGCTGTTTTGGTTGGGTCACAAGAAATTTAAATTATTATTTTTAATATACATGTGTTTGAACACTTCCCTAAAAAGTTACATTTTTAAAGTGTTAACATCAAAGCACTTTGAGACAGATTACCTTCTTGGATTCAGAAAACATTTGTTTTTCTGTATTATTCAGTAACTGAGACAGCAGTTGCTATTTTCAAAAGACCCTTAGTGCCCTTGAGGGATGATGCAAGGAGAGAGATCCAGTACAAGGCCAGCCTGGGCAATGGAGCAGGACCTTGTCAGAACAAAACAAAAAAAAATTCATGGAGAAAGTATATTCAAGAGTAAATGGTGGACTTAGTAAACTTAAGTTGTTGAGCACTTTGGGCAAGATGAGTAGTCTTTATACTGTATAAAGGTGAGAAGGGTTAAGTCCACAGTAATTCCAGACTTAAGCAACCATCAGAATCAAAGAGACACTTTTGAGCAGAGTTTCTGGTTGGTGATGCTAATGATGGGCAGGTCACAGTTTGAGAATTACTGCTTGCCAACTTGTAAGAACACTTTTAAAGAAAACATCCTGTTATTATATTTGTCTTTGTTTGTTTATGTAGAACTCACTATATAGAAGCCAAGCTGGCTTCAAATCCATAGAGATCTACTTGCCTCTGTCTCCTGAGTGATGGGACTAAAGATGTTTGCCACCTGCTTGTCTTCTTTTTAAGTATTAAAAGAATTGCACAGGGCGGTGGTGGCGCACGCCTTTAATCCCAGCACTTGGGAGGCAGGAGAATTGTTTGTCATCAAATGTTTAAAAAATAAGTCTAAAGAAAGGTAATATTGTCTGTTAGCAGTTAGAGAACACAATTATTAAGGTTTTCTATGCATATATAGTATATAGTCTTATTTTTTGAGCCCAGGCAGACCTCAAACTCCTTATAGTGGAGACCTCGAATTTTCTTTTTTCTTTTCTTTTTTTTTTTTTTTTTTTTTTTTTTTGAGACAGGGTTTCTCTGTGTAGCCCTGGCTGTCCTCTGTCCTGGAACTCACTCTGTAGACCAGGCTGGCCTCGAACTCAGAAATCCACCTGTCTCTGCCTCCCAAGTGCTGGGATTAAAAGTGTGCGCCACCACCGCTCGGCTGACCTTGAATTTTCTGTTCTCTGCCTCCACCTCCCAAATGCCGGGGTCAGAGGTGCATACCTCTACACCTAGGTTATGCAGTGCTAAAGGCTGAACCTGGGGCTTAGTGCATGACACGCAAGCATTCTACTAACTGGGATATAACCCCAGCCTGCATCATATGTAGGAGGTTTTCAATTTGTTCTATTTTTTTTTAGACTATAATATAATTATATTTCCCTTTCCTGTTCTTCTTTCCAAACCCTCACATATGCCCCTTCTTCTTCTTTTTTTTTGGGGGGGGGGGGGTTGAGACAGGATTTCTCTGTGTAGCCCTGGCTGTCCTGGAACTCACTGTGTAGACCAGGCTGGCCTCGAACTCAGAAATCCACCTGCCTCTGCCTCCCAAGTGCTGGGATTAAAGGCGTGCGCCACCACCGACAATGCCCCTTCTTGCTCTCTTTCAAATTCCTGGTCTCAATTGGTGCATTTTTCAAACTCTGTGTGTGTGTCTGTGTACATATATAGATCTGTAACTGTTCTTTGTGTTAAATAAGCTGTCTTTTCTCTGAAATTAAGGATAATTAGTCTCCAAGTTTATTTCTGTCCACTTGTTTTATTGAAGTTATCTGATTATTATTTTAGTAAAAAGTAATGTAAAAATAATAGCTTTTTGCATTACTTATTGTTACATAGTTATATATTTATAAATACAACGTGTTCAGTCTATATAACAATTTGTATGTATGTTTTCAAGGTCGACTATTTGGTATGGAATAAGTCACTGGTGTGCTCTTCCCTAGGTAAGACTATTTCCTCTCCTCTCAGCATTCCTTAACTGCCTGGAGTTCTTTGTGTAGGGTTGAGGTCATATGGGCTTTCCCCTCTCCACTTTAGTATGTTTATTGTTGTTTTTAAAGGAATCAAAGTTGTTTCATAACAACAATAATAACAGTGATAGCTTTTTTTTTTTTTTTTTTTTTGGAAAAAAAAAAGTTTTTTTTTTGTAGGCCCGGGGGTCCAGGAAACAAAATTTTAAACCCGGCTGGCCCCAAACTCAGAAATCCACCTGCCTCTGCCTCCCAAGTGCTGGGATTAAAGGCGTGCGCCACCACCGCCTGGCAACAGTAATAGCTATTAATGTCTACCTACCATCAACTGTACATTAGCATCTTTACATGTATTTAATTAACATTAAAATATCATTGAAACAGGTACCATCATAATTATTTCTATTTTGGAGATGAAGAAACTGAGCAACAGTACATTCACTCAGTGTCTGACTCTTCATTAGTAACATAGTTAGGGTTAAAAGCAAATCCGTGTGTTAAAAGATCTGGGTATCCAATCCCACAGCTTTAACACAGACATGGATCTGAGCTGGGAGGACTGTGCAGTGGGTAAAGGCCCTCACTGGCAAAGGTGACTTTGATTCCCCAATGTCTACATGGTAGAAGGCGAGAGCAGACCCCAGTAAGTTATTCTCTGACCTCCACATCTACGCTGCACACACACATGTAGAAATAAATGGACTAGAAGTTGTTCCAAAGCTGTATCTTTTTTTATTTATAATACCGAAGATTGAACCTGAGGCCTCCTGAATGCTAGAAATGATCTGTACTACTGAACCCTAGGCTTCATTTTTCTATTTGTTTTGAGACAAGGCCCAAGTTGCTTATCTTGGTCTGGAACTCATTCTGTAGCCCCAGATAGACTCTTGAATTTTCCATCCTCCTGTCTATGCCTCTGGACTAGCTATGATTACAGGACTGAGCCATAGGTACAGAGGAGGTTTTTTTGTTTTGTTTTTGTCTTGTTTTGTTTGTCTCTCTGTGTACCACAAGCTATCATTCTTGACCTCTAGCTCAGGCTGGCCTCAAACTCAATATTCCTACCACCACCTTGTGGGTGCTGGGATTACAGATACAACATATGGCTGAAACTGAATCTCCTTCCCTCCCAAGATAGGCTGTCACTATATAATCATAACTGGCTTGGAATTCACTATGTGGTCAAGTCTGACATAGAACTCATGAGGTCTACCTCTGTCTTCCAATTGCTGGGATTAAAGGCATGCACCATCATTCCTGGCTTGAAGTTGAATCTTAATGGATGTAAATCTAACATTTTACAGTTTAAATTAATATTAATTTAAATAGTCAGTTTAAGTAACTAATGCCCCAGGGCTGCTTGTGACTGCACTTGTATTTCTTTTCCTCCTCTCTCTCTCTCTCTCTCTCTCTCTCTCTCTCTCTCTCTCTCTCT